ATTCTCCTACGTCCCAACGGCCGCGACAAGCCACTAACTAAGAGACAGGAGGAAAGAGTTGATGTGAACTTACGTCTTTGGCCTTTATTTTAATTTCCAAAATAGAAAGGCGGTGGGACTCCAGAGCTCGACGAAATAGAGACTTTAGACGTTCGCGTTTCGCTTCCTTTCGTAACTCTGCGATTTCTGACTGTGCGGACATCAAAGAGGCCTTAGCAGCCGACAGTTCGGCTGTCTTTGATTCCAGCTCCTGGAGGCATTTGTCAGCAGCCAACGCCTCACTCATAACCTCTCCGCCGGAGTAGGAGATGTCTAGTCCAGAACCTGGAGGCAGAGGTTATATGCATTACGAACTTATGTGCACCAGGCTTAAATGCCGGTGAAGGGAAAAATAGGACCAGAAAATAAACCGATGGCATAGATATTGAAGATCTAGTGGACACTGGTGCCGACATAAGGCCTCATGAATGTCAGACTAGTGAGTATACCTCAATGTTTTTCTCTGTTTATGGCGTCGGTACGGTTTTGGCCTAGGACTGAAATATTTGAGTCCTAATTCGGTTAAATGGCATATCCGGTCGAAGAGTTTCATAATACAGTCAGTTTCGATCATGGATTGCCAGACGGTAGCAGACGGTAGTCGGTCGTATCAGATTGCACTGCGTGGCTTGAAGTATGGCTGAGAGAATTCGGCAGTCGGGACTATAGTGTGTTGCTGCGTTCAAATTGTCCAATATTGACACGGTATGTACACTGACGGATGAGTGAGTTGCAAAGAGATGCTGCCGTTGCCCCCATTGTTGCCCAGAAGGGAATCGCTGTGGTGGAGATCGAATCGATAGGGCAGATTTAGAAAGAGTGGCCAGAAATCGCGAAGCGGTAAAAACGACTGCTACCCAATAGACAGAGTAAGCACATTGCCCCCGAATCAATACTGTTTACCGGGTTCTCTCAATCCTTCGAAAGCACCTATGAATCCGATGCGAGATCTCCATCGCCACAAAGATCCATGTACACCGTGCGTTTATCCAGCCAGTCCTCCTCTACGGGTGTGGACACTGGGTTGTACACGTAGAAGATGAGTGGAGGCTGTGGGTATTTTACCACCGCTGCCTGAACACCATCTTTCGAGTGAATTACACCGACATCGTCTCAAATGAAGCAGTCTGCACTCGCTGCGACAGTATCGCGAGGATATATCAAGCCACCCAAGAAAGACGACTG